ATGACAGTTAGCCTTCCCACTACACACAATTGGCGGATCTGATCCACCAATTGGGGGATCTGATCCGGCAATTTGGCAAAAGGTGGATCAGATCCCCCAATTGGTGGATCAAGTGGGAATGGGCTGTTAGTCACATGTAGGTTCACTGTGAGTTTGGGGACTTGAACTTGGCTGCTGCACAGGGCATACGTTTGCTCCATGATGGGGCTTCATATTGTTGAAATGAAAATTACGGAGAGAGTTAAGTTGAGAATTATATGGTACATGTATACATGTATGCAGTAAAAAAATACAATTATTGTACAAAGACTCGGACAGAAGTTGGTATTTGTGTGTGTGTTTTCTTCCCCTCATAAATCATGCTTTCAACCCCAAAATAATGTGCTTGGGGCTTGTCTACTGTGGCAAAATCTTGGCATGAAAGTGGTCAGGTACCTGGCTGAATCTGACAGAATCCAGCGATATATAAAAATTTTGCAGTTGCCTGAATGTAGCTAATTCGAAGAGCTAAAGTAAAAGGGCTGTTTGGCTACATGTGCTGTTGGCATCAAATGTCAAAGCTTCAATGGAGAGTGCCACAAACCCTGTTGACAATCCAAAAGAACGTGAAAACAAGGTTTATTTGAGAGACGAGGAACCCCACGAATCATGTACTGCTATTACCCTACACCCTACCGTTGTTTCTGTACAAATTACAGGTGGCGTGCACCTTTCATTCCCCATGTGCCTTTTGACATGATTCAGGTAAGTTCACCGCAGTGACAGAGTGTAATCTCTAAGAGTGCATGCAATACAAGCGCCATTTCAGAATCACATCTGCATTACTGTGACTGATGCTGTCATTGACTGATGCTTTCACTTTCCAGGTGCACTCATAACTTTTGTAGAATTGGACCTATTGGCCGCCATGTTGCTTTTCTGCTTTTGGTGCAGTCATGTAACGTGTAACTTTGCCCTCGTTTGTCAGTGCACAGTGGCCATTGGTCTTCTTTATAAACACCTGAGGTAGCCATTATTCCTTGAACCTTTATGATTGCTATTATTTCTGGTTTAATAAAATGGTAACGAGTAGCAAGCGGACTGAAATTGTTCAGTCGCATAAACACAGAATCAGTGGCACACATGTTTAATAACAGGTTTTGCCTTTACACCAATGGATATGTTTATAACACTGGATACCCAGTGTTTGTCCGAGAAGTTGCAAACAAATTCACAAGCTTACTCGGGTGGGAATTGAACCCCCAACCTCCTGCTTACTAGTGTAGATGTCTTAACTATTCAACCACTGAGCATGTCGGGGTCGGCTGGCTGGTTCGAGTCAGATGTAGCAGCGTTACTGCTAACTATTACAAGATGTTTTGCGTCAGGGATTTGTTAAGTGTTTCATAACAGCTTTGCAAGCATCCAGTGTCAAGCATATGCGTCAGTTTTTTAAAATTAATCTCCCCAATGCAAATAAATATGTCTTGTAGCAATCATAACAAAAAAAAATAAAACAAGGTAACATAATCTTGGCTAAGAAGACACAACACGTTAAAACAAGTTATTAAAAAAAACAATTGTTGAGATAACACGATCTTTCCTTTGTTCGTTCTCCCCCTTTTAAGTGCGAGGCAGCCTTCCAGAGAGTGAAACCCGTTCCTGATGATCAGCCACTCTTTGATGTGAGTTTACAATATACGAATATCATGTAGTGTCATCCATGTGAAATCTGGCTGGGATTGCTTGTCAGAAAGAACGCTCTTTTATTGGGTTAATGGTGGCATGGACGATGATATTCAGGCCACAGAAGAATACAAGTTTCAGGTCGATGTGGGCATTTTTCTAGACCACTTGAAAAAACTTTTTCCCCCTATTTTTCAATCAATTCACATCGCAGGGACTAAATTCACTGCTATGTGACCAGTATGTGGTCACAATATGACCATAATTATGACCACATACGACCGTGTTGACGTATATTACAATATGATCATATATGACCATGTATTGATTGAATTTAGCCAAGTCAAAGATGGCTGTAATTAGTAATGGTTGTGTTGACGCCATCAGGTGTCAAATAATCAGAACTTTCAAGAAGCTTCTTAATCTGCCTCGAGCGGAATCACCCCCTCATTGGTTTACAAAGAGCCGTGTTGGTGGGGAGTGATCAGTTTGTTGGAAGCGACGTGACTGCAACACGCATTTCATAGTCGTTTGTGAGCCAGCCAATTGCAGCTCCTACCAAAGGAGCCTGTGTTGCTCGGAAAATTGCGCTGTCTCTTGGGCATGCTTGAGACTCATTGTCCCACATGCATTGAACTGTCAGTCCAGTCATGCTGCAACTTGGTACATGCTTTTGACAATATTTGTTAAAATCTGAACTGATTTTATGATAACTTCTAGTTACATTGAAAACCCTGTGAGTGATTCTTTACTGTCTAATGCATTACCGTGGCATTACATTGGACCTGTCCTATTACAGATTCTGAGATTGATTATTATACTGCAGTAGTATCCAAATAAACTGGGTGTTTCAACTTGACACCACAGTTCCAACAACCTGTTCATCACTTGTCATTGGGTCCTCCTTCGTTCTATCATAGGAGCTGATTAAGAAGAATGGGGAACTATCCCCTACCCCTCTGGAGCAGTCATCAGTGCTGAGCCTTGTCACAAAGATCAATACCGTATTGGATAATATCATTGTAGCTCCACCTTCAGGTTTTGACGTGGTAAGAACAATTGGATTGTTCATCCAGTTGGGCAAATGGTCCAAATTGGACAGATCATCCAGTTGGGCAAATGGTCCAATTGGACAGA